ATTTGCAACAAAAATGCTCATTTGTCATTTGAACTAAGGCAGAGGGAATTCTTAGATCTACCATGCCCTTTGTTATAACATAGAAAGTACCCTGTCCTTGGCTTTGCAAGGCTACCAGTACCGGTAGTTGTTGGAACAGATTGCCAAGAGGAGTCAAAAATAATTATAACATAGCTAGTAAATTTGTCAAATTAAATTCAATTGCATAAGCATGCTTCATATTCCTATTGTGCATGCTCATGACATCAGCAAACAAATCCCTCAAGAAAAAAAATTTTCTACGCAATTTTTTACTTTGGGATTTTACTACGAAAAAACTGGTTAAGACTTTGGCAGTAATTTAAGCTAAACATGGAAAGTTGTGAGCCAGTTGATGAGGAAGAACTGCCTACTTTTTCTCTGGGAATGGAGTTTTTAACTCCCCCAAAAAAATGAAAAGAAAAAGAAAACAAAGAACAAGCATGGCTGGTGTCATCCCATTTCGTAACTCTGAGTGAGTCCAAGTTGGAAAATATAAATATAAATGTTATGAAACAATTGGTTTATACGTCAGCTGTGCGTTCATCAAGATATGAAGCACTTGGGAAGTTTGGAGAGCACTCAAGAAGTAGCCTCAAGCAACTCTTATGCATTTTTGTTCTCTCCAAAACTTCCTGCATGCTTCATATCTCGATGAACATACACTAACATATGAACCAATTGTTAAGTGGTAAGATTTTTGTAATAACTCAGGTAAGCAGGTTGATAAACAGTCTTAAAAGTGGCAGTATTGAAGGTGATTTCCAAACATCTTAAATACTGTTTAGCATCTTGAAACCTGATCAAAGTCATGCTTTCATATCATAGTTTACTGGAGGAAATAAAATTATGCTTCTCCTTCAACCCTTTCAAGTGACCAGCATTAAATTTCTCCTCACAATATCACACCTGAATCAAACATTCTGGTCATGAGAACAAAGGTAATGATCACCAACAAGAGGAAGTCTTGATTGTTAAACAAATTCTCCTTGTCAGCACCATAGAAAATGTTTAGAGAACAGTATGGAGAATATGTATACTGATGTTATATATTAGGGGCTGATAATATTTTCAAGATTAACTACAGTTTAAAATGATTTAAAATTAAAACAACTTCAGCCTAATTTGATCTGTATTTCCTTTGGTATTTCCTTGTCAAATAATCTTATTTCTGTACCTCAAGAGGAGATATATAAGTCAAATGAATTTGTCAACATTCTTACCTTAAAATTAATTTTCTTTGTTAAGTATGTATAGCATATTTCTTAACTTACCCTACAGGTCCACCAGCAAATATTGTACTTGTTAAAAATGTTCTGTCCTTTATTGGAATTCTCTTAGCAATTATGTTTGTTAGTGAGGGATAATGTAAACCTAAAATTGAAAGAAAGATATTTAAGAACGGTAAGAATCAGCAACTATCAATCTGTGTCATTTTCATGTAAACAAAGTCAACTCTCTTGTAGGTGGAAACCCTTGGGGATTGGAAAAAGTACCTGTTAGTGGAACTGTCCACCTATAAGAATTATTCCTATATTCATATACCACAGAAAAATAGGGTGTATGTCTGCTTACAGGAGAGTGTTATGTTGGACTCTTGTTAGTTTCCTGCAGACAAAAGGATATTTGACAAAACTGATCCCTGTTGCTGTGTCAAAGGTTTTATATTTGTTGATTCACAAATTCAAAAGAAATTTTATGGCAAACCATCAACAAAATCTTGGAAATATCTTCAGATTCCGTGCTCTGATGCTCTACCACTGAGCCACAGAGAGCGTGGTCTTTTATGAAGTTCATATGAAATGCATCCTGCATACTGCTAGGATCAGCAATGTTGATAGCATAATGTTTGTAGATAGAAATAAGAGAGATGGTAAGTTTTGAGCTCGGTAAAGAGATAGAGAAAGATGTTTTTTTGTCTTGTCATGAGCATAGGACAAAGAAAAAATTCTGTTTCCCCATGGATTCTTCACTAATTAATTAAGTCAACTTTTCTTGTCAGTAAGGACCTACAGTTGGGTGTGTACATAATAAACAAATAATACATGGCCGCTTGTAGATGTGGAATTTCTATTTTGTGTTTGCTATGCTCATTCATGAGATATTGTGTTGAATGCTTGAAGAAAAATTCCCTATCTATATACCACCCACCCATATACTACTCTCGACTTATTATATTATTATCAAGATTCAAGATTCAATACAATTTCATCACAAACCTTGGGATAAACCAGTGCACATTCTAGCAGCAAATATAATCATGGTAGGAGAGAAGAAAAGTATTGGCGACACTGTTATAAAAGGAACAGCCAATGTTAATAAAGACCAGAAAATTGCAGCAATTCCTAATATTACTTCTCCACCATATTTGTCACTTAAATATCCGCCAATGATCTGTGCAGGCATGTATCCCCAAAAGAAGGCAGACATAACTGCTCCCTGGAAAAGAAATAAAATAACTGAATGTTTCAGGCATAAAGAAAAAAATTGGTTGTACAGAAAGTTGAAGTTTCTGTCTAAACCTTCCTGTATACACAGCTCCTCATTTCTACAGGACATCAGTACAGAACTAAGGGCCCATACTCACTGACAAAAATTTGATTACTTAGCAAAAATGTTGGTTGTTTGTAAATAGCAGTGATTATTTTGGTCATGCTAAATCTTATCAAAGCTCTTCAAACTTGAAATACCCCATAGTCATACCACAAACTTCAAAACTGTAAGGAGCAGAGATTTATTGAGAAAAATATTGCTGACTTCCTAAGAACCCAGTCACACTAGTACAAATTCAAATGTTTCCACTTTTTTCACAAGGGAAAAATTGACACAACTTTTGCAATTTTCAAATTTTACTCCTGGTTCATCAAACTGATATTTCTCAAGCTAAACCCTACTAATGGGCTGATACGTTGATCACAAACCTGTCTTGCTCTATAGATAAACAAAAAATCTTGTGAGAATTGTTAGGCAAGAGTATAATGTTAACATGTTTTCTAATCTTTGTGGTCTTTTGTTTTTGAATCTCAGAAAACTACATAGACTTGATGGTACACTATTTGCTGGCTTTCTGCTTGAAGCATTTTTTGTGAATAGGGGGCCACGCCTACTTTAGGCTACTTGTTAAAAGATTTACATCAAACACAAACAAAATAAGCCCTAAGGTAACCAGGCACTTAAGGTTGTCAAAAATTTGCTCTTGCCAAGGGTAAATCAAAGACAATAATTAATGTGTTACACAGAAAATTTAAACAGAGAATAGTTCGAGTATGGCTGGGCAAACAAAAACTTGCGTTTAAATAGATGTAAGGAATATACAAGACATCACTAACAAAACAAAAGTTGAGGTTGACTTTCAGTCGGATGCGACTTTTTCCATCTTCTTTTCTGTAAAATCCAAGCCGTTTCGGGCCATCAACTGTTGAGATTTCTCCCTACTGTTTTTAGGTAAACAAATTAAACGAGAAACTAATAATTTGTTTAAACTAAATAACTTAATACAGCCACTTAAATACACACAGTTCTACTCATGGACACGGCAGGACTTACATCGATCTCTTTGTCCCACTTTAATTCAGAGCTCATGGCTGCCATACACAAAGGTACAGCTGATCTGGCAGCGTACAGTAATAGTGTACCACAAAACATGGCCACAATCCAGTACTTTCGCTGTTCCTCCGGCCACTGGAAACCCGCATCTCCTTTAGATTTTTCGTTCATGTCGATTTTCAACCGTATTGGCTCTGAGGTAGTCATTCGTTAAATTAAATTTCCTCGGGATAACTTTTAAATATCACCTCCTTTCGATATACGTGGATGAACTTCAAGTCTGGGTGTGTTAATGTGACAGTCTTAGGCGATCAATGAAATTTTGCTGAAGGAGCGAGGCTGTATATCCACCTTCGAGCCACACACGAATTTTTTCCAACCGTTACGACATTGCTTGTTTCATGGTTGCTCTCGCTGAGTAGACTTGTCTTGTTGTAGTTAATGAGCCCAACTACCAAGTAAGTGAAAAGCTTGATAATCGACCCGAGTATCTTAAGGCTACCAAAAATACCAAATTGTCACAAATTCATTCGGTAAACTATGCTAGACGCCACGTTTTATGCCGATACGGGAGACGCATGTAACCAGGCCTGGTATATGGTTACAGCAGTTCGTGACTTAGTTCGTTCTCAACTTAAGAAATATACTGCAACACCTGCTGATGATTAGAATTTCTGTCGTTTGTCATCTCTGAGGGCCCTCTAAATAATATATGACATATTAACTTCATTTCACAACGTTTACTACTTTTCATCAGAAAGAGAGAGAGGTGGTGAGGGGGGCATTCCGTCTCAACTCCTACAACAAAAAAGTCAAGAAAGACAGAGGTAATATAACCTGGTCATAAAGTCACACCAGAGGAGGCTTCGAACTACCTAGATACATCAATATATCATACAAAAAATATTTTGTTCTTTAAGGCCGTTCTATTGGATCTCACAAGACGACTTGCCACTTCCAAAACCTGGAGTTGCGCGACATCTTATAGAGCGGGAGCTAACAGGTTGCGAATTTTCGTATTCTTTTTTTTAAGTTTTCCATATATATTATTGGCTTCTTGCGAGGCTTTCGATTTTGTTTTACTAAGTTTTGCTTATCCCTAGTTTCATTTTTCTATGAAAAACCGCCGTATCAATATAGGCTCAGTCGCAGTCTTTGACGGGTCTCCGGCCCTCGTTGTTTCGTTGCGCCCGCAGACTTGTCCAAAAACGTGCTGCGGCTAGTTCTCGGCTGGAGACTGAACCAAATGGCGACTTTTTCTGTTTCTTCAAGACTCACAGCAGTCCCCTTTTGTTCCGCAATTAGCTTCAAGCCGCTTAAGGCGGACAGGTGTCACATAATTATCGTTAACCTTTCATACATGCCATTGTAACCCCTTCGATTAAAAGGCTTTTATGCCATCACATCCCCAACTTACAGCATAGTTATTGTGGAAAATGTCATTTCTTTCTGCGGCTTTGCTCGTTTTGATTGTTGTGACCACCGCTATCAATCACCTCTTAGATCGAGGGTAAGTTACAAGACCACTCTTCTTCACATGCTTAATTCAAACATTTTTTGCTAGAAAAAGTTATTTGAGATTAGTAACTAACGCAAGGATACTGAATTTAAAAAAATGTAGACTGAGAAGTTTCCAAAGTTATAATCAGATGACGTTGGTGAAAACAAGAATGTCAATTTCCGACTGGGTCGTCAATTTCATTTCGTCACTTCCCATTATCGGTCTCTTAAAAAATTTTACACTTGCGACGGGAAGAAGATAGTCCGTAGAGACTGTGTCGTCGAAATATTCGGTTGGTCGCGGGAAAAAAACAATTTTGAAGATACATCGCATCGCACCAGTAGCTTTCCTTCCTAGAAGAAAAAAAACGTTCATAAATGGTGGAAAAAAGACCTACAAAAATGTTCCTTCTGCGCTTTAATAATCGTCATTAACACGGCCGGGATATAGCTGTAAACCGATGTAGTCAAATATGACGGAATTAAAGATAGTCGGTATAAAAAGAAAACTTTGTTAAAGGTACTGTAAGGGTAATGAAAGGTCCACTCGAACAGTATTGGGCAAAGTGCTGAGAAGTGGATCGGCGGATATCACTGAGTAGATCGGTAAAAGTCCGACTACAACTGGAGCAGTGATTAAAACTTAACGTAAAGCTCCAGTGGTATCGCCTGGTATTTGTCGAAAAGGCTTCCCGAAATGAAGGGCCGGCCATAAACGCAAAGTGCTAATATAAAGAAAACTATTCCATTATTTTTGTGATGATTTTGAGGAAACGTTTGCCTCTGAACCATTTTCAACCAATCTTGTTTCATCTTTTACAGCCAATTATTGGTTAATTCCATTTTTGATTCCCTTTATATGACGGCATACAATTACGATTAATCGTTTTTACCGAAATGTTTGGCATTTGAAATAATTAATTAGGACCGTCTTAACGATTAGATGTCTGTCTCTACTCCTTGTTGCTATTTTCTACATGTCTCGTCTAACTATAGGCGCTGTTATGATAATTCAAAAATAGACTTTAGTGTACGCACAAGACCTTGCAGTGACAGTGTTCTTTTTTTTTTCTTCTGACTTTTTTCCTTTTCCAGGCTGGGAAATTACGCCGATTCAGACTACAAGGATGAAGAAAATTCAAATAACAAGATAAACAAGAAAGATTCAAATCTCAGTTCTACGCCAGACATACAGAAAACTGCGTTTGCTGCGATACCAACCGCGCAAACAAACATATCGATGCCCGAACTTCCTGCTAACAGCAATAACAGTACTGTTTCACCATCTAGGCACCATGGAACCACAAAGACAATCAAAGCGACGTAAAGATGATCCTCGACCTCGTTTCCGGGATGATTTGTGACAGACACCATGGAAACAAGGCTGGAAGACAACGACGTTTGCTTGTAAATGGCAGTGATTTAACCAGGTTACAAATTTCATAGCTGAAATATTTAAAGCTCGCTGAAGCATTAGAAATTTTGTTTAACACGCTTGTTCGGCACTGGACTGCACCATGACCAAATTTAGCTCAGAACTTAGAAAAACTGTATGGTTTACAGCTTAAACTCTGGTGGCTAGCATGGTCGTGGTGGTTTAAAATAATTTGTACACTCTGTTCTCATCTCGCAACGTCATCTTTCGTTGACCAGGAATAGAGGAAGGAGAGCTTTAGCACTATCAGGAGGTAAAGTTGAGTACTCCCACAATCCCACTTACAGCGTGTTAATCTCGTACCCAGATCCTACTGAAATGTTACGATCGCTTGGCGGTGGGCGGTCTTGATACGAAACTAGTTGCGTGCATCAAACACGAACAGGATATGGGACTGGGATACGAGGCTAGGAAGAATACTAAATAGTTGTCACTGAATCTGTCCACGCCTTTTTGTGCTGATTTGAGACAATTAAATATCATCGCATGTGTAAATGTATGACTCATGCATGGCCTTTGATGTTAAAGACAGAAAAAAACAATTTTCACAATTTCGATAGGTTTCTAAGCTTAGGTATTTTTGGCTTAGCAATAAAGGAAAGCTATAAAAACATATATACACTGATTCATCACATGAAGTTCGGGACTCAAAAGCGACGCGTGACAAAAAACTAAATCCCACCTCTTAGTTAAGACTCCAATCCCATGAGCCTTTACGAATTGCCCTTGTGCCTTTGCGAGATTGTTATTCACTCTTTTCCCCATCGCCCTGTTGATCCTTGCCAAACGGTATTAAAAAGGGTAGAGGCTTTTCCTGGTTTCTTCTGCCACCAAAGAATGGAACACAGCCTGTTACCAACGAGGGGACTTCAAAGACGCCTGCCGAACCGTTGTAAAGGGTCCAATTCCAAATTGATTGAATCATCCAAGTTGTCCAATTTCAGTGACCTTTATCATACAGAGACAAGATAATTTTTGAGACAGTTCAGACTGGAAACTTTTCTGTCCCTATTCAGGCTTGCGCTTGATGAAAACGTCTTAGCCAGCTCAGACGCCTCTTGTTTTATTCCAGTTTATTTTGTTTTCCCATAATTTTTTATCTGATTATTTGCATTCTATAAAGCTTAATCAAGAGTATCGAGGAACGTATCAGGTCCATCAGGCCTTCCAACGGAAGGAGGAATGGGCTGAGCGAGCGCGGGAGGAAGGCATTTCCCCCATCCCCCTTGGAAAGACTGGTAATCAGCCTAAGTCAGGCTATGTAAGGATATTAATACAGCTATCTTACAAAGTTCATTTTAAGTGAGAAACTTAGAGCTTTTGCGCTGAATACTGCAGACTTTAACACTCTACGTGTGCACCGATTAGCAGGAAATATACTTGATTAGAAGTAATTTTCAAGTTTATGTTTGTTTTATTTGAAAAGTTTTGATTTATTTTGGCAAAGCTACAAAATTATCCTTTCATTTCACAGTTCGACAGACACTTCCCGCCAAAATTACCGGAAGTAGAACCCAGGCCTTTGATAATATTGATCACGTGCGTGCCCCTGGAACCCCCCACACATTGTTGCTTGGAACAAATGCGAGTCGCGGTCGCATGTCCGTCGTGAAATTTTAGCTAAAATCACTCCAAAACAGGAAATTTGCCCGGCCCGAGGCCGAAACGACCATTTCCAGACATAGTACATTATCCTACCAATCGACATCAGGCAGCAATTCAGCTCCATGTACCGATAAAAGCCCGTGGAATTAGGCATATGCAAACAACCACAGGTAGGCCGTTCGATCGAACACAGAGATAGAGTTCGCACTTTTACGCCGAATTCGCCGGCTGTACCTCATATACAGGGGGTAAGTTACCCCCCTTTCGCCGAAGAAATATTTTGCGACCTCTTGGAGTTGCAGGAATTGGAGAGAAACCTTACGAATATCATCCCGGAAGCTCCAATTATATGCCTGTAATTCTATATTTGCCTGTTTTCAAGGAAAATTGTCTAATTTCGATAATATTTCCCCTGTTCTATGACTAATTTGTCCTATTTTAACCACAGGCTCATTGGAGTTCATGCCAAAACGGCAGCAAAAGTTCGTTAGGCTGCCATCCGTTTGAAATAATGGAGGCTGGCACTGCTAAATGTCTTCTGGATGTGATAAAGTGAGTGAAGTATTTTTCATGTCACCAAAATTAGATTTGACATCTTATACTGTACGTTAGTGGGCCGGTGAAAGAGATCTGAAAGAGGAAGTGTTAGTTCATGCAGGAATCAACTTTGATGTTGAATTTCTCTCTCTCTATAGCGACCCTAACGCTTTGCAAGAATTCTTGAGAACCAATAGCCAGGTGAGCGGAATACTTTTCTCAAATTTACTGTGACAGTATTCATAAAACACTATGTGCTGAAGTCAGCTTTGTAACTTTTTGTGATGCATGTGGATCTAATTTTTCTTGACTCTTCAATTCATCTGAAAGGGGGTAGACCAAACCTCAATTTCTGTGCATGGCAATTTTCTTATTGATCCAAAAATTTCACAGTTGTTTGTATTTATCAACAGTCCATAATTGACACAAGGTGATTTCTTATCCAAACTACTTGAAGGTAGTATTAATATGTCCTGTCCATACTGAAAGGGGTTGCAATGGTAAAATCTTAGACTTGCAAGATGTTTAGCCTCCTTTTTTGACAATCCAAGACTGAGATTTCATAATTATATCTTTACAAGCCCTGATCTTTACTCTCACTTAACTATGATAGTTCTAAGGTTGTATCTCTGACTTGCAATACAGTTGCAAGATACTGTTCTGTGCCTGTTTTTGTAACAAAGCAGCTTTCAGGTTGCATTATAATCAAACCAGCTGGAATAATATGTGTAACTCTAATGTACTTTTGGTACCATTTGGTTAAGATACTCGGCTGTGAGAACAAATCCTAGAACTTGGAGTGCAATGCAAGTTTTAGAGACCAAAATGAAATGCCCTACTGAAGAATGTGATTTTGAAACTCAGTATGAAAGTTGATGAAATTTTTACATACACTAGAACCCATTTTCTCTCTCCCCCCCCCTTCCCTCCCCTCTCCCAACTTGAACTCATAAGGGTAATAAATAATGGTTTGAATAGAAGGGGGTTGGAGTTAACAGGATTAGTTTTTAAATTATCAATTAGGAAGGAATGATTGTTTTACCATTCTTGCACAATCAACTGTTATTTTCATTTATTTAGTCAGTTTAAGGGAGCTTTTTGATAAGACTGTTTAGTCTGTGAAGTTCAGGTTGGCAGGTGTTAATAGCTCTCTTAAATGTTTATAACCCAATGTCTTTACTTAATGTTCAAGTCTGGAGTGAAGATTTGAGCAAAGGGAAATTAAAATTAATTTTGAGTTAAAAGGAAGTTCAAGTGAACCAAGTTTGAGCCAGCTAATAATAAATAACTGAGGAGATGGGGTCAAAGCAAAGGGAAACCGGATCTTTTTTAAGTTAGCGGAGGGTTTGAGTGAATCATGTTGTAGTAAGCGGGGTTCTACTGTAATTCAATTGTTTAGAGAGCTGTGATTTTTCAAGGTTCCATTACACCCTTGATAATTTAGGCAAACCTTCTAAATTTTCCTTTGAGTTTACTGTCCACACTGATCTTATCTGAATAGGAGCAAAACAATCATAAGCAGCTATGTCCCTTGACTACAACAGTGTATATGGTAGGAAAATCTTGGAGACTAGGCAAATAACCGTAAATTACATGGTGCAAGCTGTGGTAGCTCCCAAAACTTTGTCAAACCTCAAAGGAGCTTGTGAAAAATTAAAATTTAGATGCTCTTTCATAGATCTTACCTTTAACCCTTTTGCTTCCAAGTTCTCATTAGTAATTCTCCTTACTTTCTGCCACAGGATTCCTTTGATGTTAGTTTGGAGAATTTGGTATTGGATCAACTAGTAACCCCCTACTTGATGTTTTCCTTTATTCTCATCACTTATATGCTTGACTTTTAATTGATGTTGTAAGGAGGAATTTTGTCTTGGTCACTCATGGGAGTGTAAGGATTTAGACCAGTTTCAAAAGGTTTTTCCAAATTTAAACATGTTTTCCTTTATTTACAGGATCATGGCCTTTCTTCTAAAAATTCAGGAGACTCTATTTCAGTGTCAACTCCACTGAATGTGAATCATTTACTGACTTCAAAATTAAATGCCAGTTCAACAAGAGAAGGTGGGATTAACAACAGGTTACCTGTAAATGCAAGAATTGCTTCACAAGTGTCTGGAACATCTTTGCCTAGTTCTTCTTCATTGCCACAGAGTACATTAGTAAATTCAGTGGTCAACAATAGTAGCATGTCAAGAAATAGTTCAAGTCCTAATACTCCTTTTACTGTTGGGGTGGTTCCGTCTTCTGTTCCGGTGTCAAGTGGTGTCAATTTTCTAAAGGCTGGTATGGAAAGTCCTGGTAGTTTAGGGAACAAAACTGGCAGTGCACTTGGAATTTCGTCTTCACCAAAACCTGTGGCTACTACTGCTTCAGTATTTCAAGGGAAAAAACCCATCCCAATCCAACCTAAAACCCCTAATATTTCCTCTGCTGTAACAAGCTCAACTGTAGGAACTACAGGAACACGTGGAATACAGATTATGAACTCTGGATTACCTATTGTAATGCAAAAACAGCCTATTGTTGCACAGCAGAGTATATCTTCCTCTGGGCATCGTGTTGTGTTAAATGGAACAGATTCGAAAACAAACATGAAGACAAGTGTTGCTCCTGTAAATGCACATTCTAATAAATCTCCTCAAGGTGTGTTACAGCCAATTCTTTCTACAACTCCTGTCAAGCGAATTGCACCTAAACAGCCAAGTATATTACCTCAAACTGGTATGTCATCGCCACCTCAAATTGTGGGTACACAACATAAGATACTTCTGCAACAAGTTTCAAATCAAATTACTCCTCAAGTGCAAACTGTTATAAATCAAGTGTCACCAGGAAATGCTCAACAACAAAATCATACACAGCTTATCCAAGCACAGCAGTTACTTAATTTGATAAGAGGCCAAAATCCAAGCACCCAGACAACACAACAGACATCAACTCAGCTCACACAATCACAAGCATTACCTGCAAATCAGATTAAACAAATTCAACAGTTAGTTCAACAGAAACTTTCTAACCAGCAGCAACAACCGCCAGTTGTACAAACGTTGCAACAGAATGTACTTAGTCCTGCACAGCTCCAAGCTGCTTTGAAACCAAACCAACAGTTTACCACACAAACTGTCCAAGCAGCTCAACCACAAAACATTGTTGTCCAAGAAGAGGTCATCAAACAACTTCTTCAACAAGTATCGCAACAAAAACCTACCCAGAAACTTGTGCAACCGCAGCAAATATTTCAGCAAATACCACAGCAGTCTCAATCTGTTCAAAAGCAGATCTTAGTACAGAATATTCAACCACAGGGACAGCAAACCCTGCAAACATTGCAAGTTAATGTCAATGCTTCTGCTAAGCCTTCTAACCTGAATCAAAGAACTGATG